GACCCCCCCCCCCCCCCCGGTCCGTCCCTGGGCTGGCTCATTTTAGTACCTATGCTCAAAGATGTTTCTCGCTACCAAGAATCCACTTACGGTGGGATATGAAGAATTATTGTGATAATAGAAAATAGAACTTTATTTTTATGTACTTCCCTCATTCTGCTGTTACAAACAACAACAACAACCCAGTTGGATCCCACTACAGTAGGGTCTGGGGAGGGTGTGTCTATGCAGACCTTGCCCCTACTCGGAAGCAGGGAGGCTGTTTCCAAGAGACCCCCGGCTCAACCTGCACAAAAAAATGATAGGGTACACAGTATAGCATGGGTAAAACACCAAGTACAATGAAAAGAAAGTTTTACAAACATTAATAGAAGATTCCAAACAAACACAACACACTACAAAAAACCTCTGTAGCACCGAGTTCCTAACCAGCTACTCTAATCCTAGTTCTCCAAAGGTTCCTATCTAAAGCCATATCCTCAGTCAGGGTGAGAAGTCCTAAATCATGTCTAATCACCTCCTTCCAATTCTTCTTAGGTCTACCCCTTCCCCTACTACCCCCGATAACCGTAATCCGCTCACATCTCCGTACAGGGGCGTCAGCATCCCGCCGTCTCACATGACCAAACCATCTCAACCTCGCTTCCCGCAATTTATCTTCCACCGCCGCCATGCCTACCTGACGTCGGATAACTTCATTCAAAATCCTATCCAACCTTGTCTTCCCACACATCCATCGTAACATCCGCATCTCCGCCGCATGCAGACGACGCACATGAGTCTTCTTAACCGCCCAACTCTCTGCCCCATATAACATAGCAGGTCTGACTACGGATCGGTAGAACTTGCCTTTCATCCTGGGCGAAATCTTCGGGTCACACAATACCCCTGAAGCCAACTGCCATTTGGCCCAAGCCACTCTTGCTGTTACAATAATTCCTTATTTTATTTCAGTTAGGATTCTCCAAATAATATACTACCTCTGTCTCAGTATATTTGTCCAATTTGATTTTTTCGACTCACTTTGGATAAACTTTGACATTCAATTACTCTCAATTTGTATGATATATATTTAATATCATACAGTGGAACGGAGTGAGTATTTAATAAGACCAATTATTATTAAATTATACTCCCTCCGTCCCAGAGTATTCGTCCAGTTTTGACTTTTGGAACTGTTCATCTAAGCACTTTGACTCATCAAATTCTCTCAGTGTGTAAACCTAAATATAGTCATGTGTGATCTTGTTTGATTTGTCTTAACATATAGATTATTAATATATAATTTCTATAATTTTTTAATATACAAATTACAAGATAAAATGGATTAAAGAAGTGTATTGGATGGTGTGTAAAAATGAAAGTGGACAAATACTCTGGGACGGAGGTAGTACACTTACAAAATTTTATCTTTTTTATATAAATAGATTTCTCAGGTAACAATGTTACCTAGTGGACCACCTCACCTTGTTCTGTTACTCATGGTGTTTGTGGTTACTAGTTTCACACGTCTCAAAAATGGATAATAAAATGTTCACTTATCCTCTTAATGAATGATAAAATAAAGTTGAGTTTTCCGTTTTGGGTGTAACGTGTTTCCCCTCGTAATGATGAGTGATGACTTTGATGAGTAATAATCGTTACTCGGTATGTAACTTAGGTTAAATATTACATTGGGTTAGATTGTCCCTGGACATACCACTTGATATTCGTATCCATGCGTGGGAAGTGGCCGATCTAGATGGTGATTAGTTGCCCCAAGTGAAGTGACCCTGTTTTATTAGATATACATATATTCAAGATTAATTTTTGGGTTGATTACTTTGATGCCCCTAGTGCAAATTGAGTGCCCCCTCCACTTGCAACTCCAACTCAAAATTCATCACAATGACGGAGTATGACATTTTCAAAAAAAAAAATTGTAAGTTTTGCGTAGTAGGGAATTGGCCACACGCTTCATTTATAATTTATTTCTTTTCTTTTTGATAAATTGAGTTATATTCCTTGTTTATTCAAAAATTAGGTTCATGTTTATTTATTTTGTATGGTTAAATATTATTTTCAGTATTTCCTACTAATTTGTATGAAAAAAAGAATATGAAGTAGTGAGATAGAATTGAGAGTAAAAAATTTTGAAACATAATTGAACTAAGATGTAAATTGATGTAATTATGTAGTAAATAATAGGGGTGAGCATCGGTTCGGTTTGGTCGGTTTCGGCCCAAAACCGAAAAAACCGAAATTCAAAAGTACTTGAAAAAACCGACCGAACCGAACCGAATTAAATATAGAACCGAACAAACCGAACCGAGTAAAAACCGATCGGGTTCGGTCGGTTTGAAAAAACCGAAATTTTCAATCTAAAAACCTACTGCCTACCGCAAATATTGAAGCATTTCTCAAATTTTTAAAGGAAAGTAATAGCAAACACATATTATAACAGCTCCAAAATGACAGCTCCAAATGACAAAAACATATTATCTCCCAAGGGTCAAACATAATATTTAAACAAACAAAAGCAGAGCCCCAAAATGAGTAATAAAAGCCAACAATGATATTGATAACAATCCAAGTAGAGCTTTAAAAAGTTCAAAATAATAATAAACTGAAAATGCTCCCATGACTTCATGCTCAATTCCTTCAGAACTGGATGTCACCCATCACCATCAATCTGTACTTATAAAGAAAAAAAATCTTAACATACAAACCACTAAAATTGAAAAGTATGAGAATTATAATTAATAAAATAACAGGATTACCAAAACATTACCGGATTACCAAAACCAAGATCTTAATGTCTTCACATCTCTAAGCATCAATAACGGGATCCAACTTGAGTTTCGACAAATCTAAAAGAACAAAACAAATAGACAATTTAAAAAAAATAGTTATGAATGCTAAATAAAAAATATTGAAAAATCAAATACATTGTGAATCATGGGAAGCTATTGACTCCATTGAGTTTGCTCTTGAATTTTGAACTAATCTTGAATAATGAAAAAACAAAACAATTAGTTAAACAAAAAAAATTAGTTACAGAAAATTGAGGTCTGTTTTAAAATGAAGCNGTGATAGCCGATTGGTGACGCCGGAACGGAGATGGTGATTGCCGAGATCTTGGCGTGAATGGCGTAGGCTTGAGAACGCACGAACTGGGAGAATGTGAGATGGTGATTGCCGATTCGTGAGGGCGGAGAAGACGAGAACGACACAGGGGTTGAGGGGTTGAGATCTGTGAATTTCGGCCGACTTGGGAGAAGGGTTGGAAATCGGGTAGGGAGAAGGGCTGGGAAGTGGAATTGGGTTTTTTTTCATTGGGCTATAACTAAAAGATTTGGTCTGAGCTAGTGGGCTTACATATATTTAACAGTTAACACTTACTATGGGCTCGGTTATTCGGTCGGTTTCGGTTAACATTGCCCAAAACCGAAACCGAAACCGATAACCGAATTAACCGAATTTTTTTTACATTAAAACCGAAAACCGAAACCGAATTTAAAATTGCGGTCGGTTCGGTTATAGTGTATCGGTTAATCGGTCGGTTCGGTTAATTTGCTCACCCCTAGTAAATAAAGTTATTATCCAAAATTGATTTTTTAAATAAAGTTATTTTCCATAACATACATAATTGAGTTTTTAAATAAATTTGAAAATAAAATATTTATAATATGATACTAATTATGGAGTAAATAAAGTTAATCTCCAAAATTGATTTTTTAAATAAAGTTATTCTCCATAATATACATAATTGATTTTTTAAATAAATTTGAAAATAAAATATTTATAATATGATACTAGTTGTGGAGTAAATAAAGTTATTTTCCTAATTGTTAAGTATAGAGTATATTTTCCTAAAGAAATCACTCAAAATAGGAGTAAGCATATAATTTATTCTCAAAATAGAATAAAGTTTTGTATTTCTATCCCCAAATTAAGAGTTCCCATTGTTACATTATAACACTGTATAATGGCATCCCACCATATTTTTTGGTACTATATATTGACATTATACTATTGTACTCCTATTTTTGGGATAAAAACATGAAGCTCCTATTTTAGTACTCTCTTCATTTTTACTCCTAGTTTAGTCTTTTTCCAAATTTTCTAATTTTGGAATATTTTATTTAATTTTAACTATATTTGAATACTTTTTTTGTAAAATTGAATACTTGTTTGATATGAATCTTTTTATAATTTCAAGTCGGCTTTGAAAAAAAATATAGTGACGCTTTCCCGAACTCCACCGTGTTTTTGTAGCTAATGCATGGTGCCCCGAGTCAATATTTTTTTTGGATCCGTCACTGTGTGTGGGGGAGAGTTGCGTTATTGCCTTATTGGCAAGGCAAATGATGTTTAGAGAATAATATTCGAATTTGAATCTTAGCAATTGCATTGAGAGACAACTATATTAAGGCCCCGTTCCGTTCAACTTATTCTAATTTTACAAAAAAAAAAATCATAAAATAAAAAATATTATTACATTATAATATGAATGATTATTCTAATATACTCCCTCTGTCCACCATAGATCTTCCGAGACACTATTCACAGGGTCAAACTTAACTCACTTTGTTTGCTTATTTTAACTACTTATTTCAAAAAATAAAATATTATTGTCACATCTAGTTTTGTAGAACTTTCCATGTACTTTTTTACTATATAAATTTTATTTTTAAATTTTATTTTTACAATCAAATAAATTGAATTGAAAATAAAGTCGGTCAAACATCGTAACGCACAATGAGAACATCTTTGGTGGACGGAGGGAGTATGAATTAACTATTTTTATTTTATTAAAAAATAATCATTAAATAAAAAATATTGATTATATTATAATATGAATTTTTATTACAATTTTCAAACGTTATTATAAAGTCAAATCAAATTATTGATTTGAAATTTTAAATTAAATCATAATTAATCAGATCAGATTAGACCAGATCAGATTAGATCCAATCAGATCAGATCAGATCAGATCCAATCAGATCAGATCAGATTAGATCAGATCAGATCAGGTCAGAACTTATTAAAATTAGATCAAATCAGAAAAAATAAGTTGAACGGAACGGAGCCTAAATATATAACCTTTGTGGGTACCAGATGCATGATCTATTTTTTGACACCAATCTATTATTTAAACATAATTTATCTCTTTAGTGAACGTAATGTCCAGTTGCTTCTCTGGCACCCTAAGGGATACGTTCCTCTTTTTTGGAAATAATAGATTGGTGTCATAAATGGATTATTGGATCATTTTGAATTTAACCGGTTGACCACTTGCAAATGGATTCTCATCCCCTTGGTTAGCCACTTGCAAATGGATTCTCATCCCCTTGCAAATGGATCATAAATTGATAAATGATCATATATTTTTGCAATGGACCCATTTTTTATGCTATTAATGCACTAAGACTTGAAAAATGAATATAGACCTTATAACCACTCAAAAATTTAGCTAATTTGAGTTGGCTGCATCTACAAAAGATGCTTGATAACATTTGATCTTTGTTATTCTCTCTAGCTAATGCTGTTCATCATGATACTCCACACTTTATGGGTCGTATGGTTAGCTAAATGGATATAGTAGTGGCGCTCCACTATTTGATAGTGGTAGTCCATATTTATATTCAATTACTTCCATCTCACAAACATTTAAACTCATCACTAGCTATATTTAAAAATGACAAAAAAAGATTGTTTATTTATTATAGAATTTAAGATGGGGTGTGGGTAATTGGATTGGACTATAAGACACTTAAGCTGAACCACATTAAAAGATTGAATCAAATCGATTAGTTAGTTCAACTCAAGAGCTTATATACCGATTATTTCAATCTTGGACTTCTGGTGTGGGATTCACTCTAACACTCCCCCTAAATGGATTATTGGATCATTTTGAATCTAACCGGTTGACCACTTGCAAATGGATTCTCATCCCCTTGGTTTTGTTTTTAGCGATGATACCTAAAGGAACATAAGCCGCTGTGTATGAACTTCCAGACGAGTAATAATCGGGTGAAACAGGCCACAGGCCATTGGATATACATTCCACACGGACAACTAGACTAAAGATTAGGGCCGCTAGGAATGAACGTCTAGACGGGCACCTTAATAAACGAGGTGGGCTAAAACTAGCTTCGATACCAGGATAGAATTTAAGATGGAGTATGGATCATTAGATTGGGCACTAAGACACTTGAGTTGAACCACATTAAAATATTGAACCCAATCGATTAGTTAGTTCAACTCAAGAGCTTATATACTGATTATTTTACTCTTGGACTTCCATTGTGGGATTCATTGTAACAATTTATATTTTTTATTGAGTAAAATCCATTAATGGTTCCTAATTAAGGTTATTTTCTATATTTAGTCCCTAATCCTTGTATATTTCATAAATGGTCCTCAATTTTTGAAAAATATTCTATAACTAGTCCTTTAGGGACTGTTTGTGGAAAAAGGGTTTCCTCATATTTGGCCTAAAGGAATATTTATGAAGTAGTTTTTCAAAATTGAGGACCATTTATGAAATATCTACGAATTGGGATTGATTATTATGTGAAATAAAATATTCTTAGCTTGCCACTTCTTGTTTTGTAGAATTTTTGATGTACTTTTTAAATATGCAAGTTTTATTTTATATTTCTATACCAATTTTTAAATAAAATAAATTGAAAATACTTAGAATTTTACTTCATTTTGGATAATGTGTAGTTCATTTGAGGACAAAGGGAGTAATATTTTTATTACATGGACGCTTATACAATGACTACTAACAACCCAGAAGGATCCCACAAAAGTAAAGTCTGAGGAGAGTTTGTATACGCAGACCTGACCCCTACTCGAAAGTAGAGTAATGGTTTCTAAGAGACGCCCATCTATGGTAGAATGAAAGAAAATACCATGCAAGAAAAAAAATACTCCCACGGTCCCACAAAATATTTCTTGTTTTAATTTTCAAGAGATTTAAGAGAGTGTATTTTGGTGTTGACTTTCCAAAAATGCCCTTGGATGTGATAGGTAAAAGTAGATGTGATGGGTAACTTAGTAGTAAAAAAGTATGATGTGATAGATAGGTTAAGAATTAATAGGGATAAAAGTGACTTTTTAATAAAAAATGAGAAAAAAATTTTAGGACAGATAAAAAAAAGAAAAGAGAAAAGTTTTGTGGGAAGGAAGGAGTACATAGTAGCAATTAATGTCAAGAAAAGTATAGAGAGACAAAAGGCACACAAATAAGTACAATAAAAAGATCATTATTTAAGGGACTACCCAACTATCCTAGTATTAAATCTCTATACGCTTCTTTCTAATGTCATATCCTCAGTTAGGGCTAAAAGTCCTAAGTCGTACTTGATCACTTCCTTCCAACTCTTCCAAGGTGTACACCTTTCTCTACCCTGGCCCACTATGGTAAACCTCTCGCATCTTTGCATCTGGGCCTCAACCCTATGCAAATTCACGTGACCAAACCATTTCAATCTGGCCCAGGGGCGGAGGAGGGGGCCGCATGGGCACGTGCCCCCAGCAGTTTTTCGGCGAAGAGCTTCTACTGATGGCCGTCAGAGATTGGGTGCTCTGACCAGCTACGAAGGAACGATGGTGCCCCCCCCCCCCATGATAGGCGCAACAACTATGGAGTAGTATGATCTTTTTCTCCGTTCATTTGTAACTTCATCTTCGAGCAAACATCTTCGTATGACTCTGACGAAAGAGTTTTAGCGGTAGTAAATTTCACTCTAAAAGAGATCGATTTATTCCCGTGTCGTATTCACGTGGATTGGTGTTAAAATAAATTTTCTATTAAAATCTAGTTAGGCAAAGTTTTACTCATTGGTTTTGGAAGCCTTCTAAATTCGAAAAGTGTTTGTGGTTTGGAATTAAACTAAGTTGGAAAAAGTAATAAAATAATTGGTTGATAAAAAGGAATATGAATTGATTTTAGGTAGTAGGAATTTTTTAGATAATTTAACTAGTTGGATTATTAAATTAACTAATTAATTTAGCTAGTGAGTAATTCTGTCACAATAACTCCATTAATTTTATCCTATCTCTAGGCATTATTAATGTGCTAGAATTGATTGACTAAATTATTTTTCACATTCATTGACAAATGGACATAATAATTTTTTTTCAAACATTAATTAATAAATTGGCCAGATTAATTAATTAGAACATTCAACAATTACTAGCAACTTAACATTTTAATTAATTAAATTTAATACTCCAACATAATTATTTTTCCTACATTCCTACTACCCTAATTTCAATTCACATTCCTAATACGTTTAAAAAGACATAGTAATAATAAAAAGTGCAAAAATTGAATAACAAAACATGTTTATAATATTAATTAAAGAAACTTACAACTTCCAGAAAAGCGGAATTGGAACAGAACTGGAACTGAAACTCCCAAAATAAAATAAAACTACAATTTTTATAACAAATTTCGCTGCTATGGAGAGAGGAAAACGGAGACTGATGATGATTTGAGAAGGCTGATCGACGTTGCCTTTTATAGGCCTAGGAATCTCCGGGGCGGGGTGTGGGGCGGCCGCCCGGAAGGTCGCCCTAGGAGGAATATCCGAATATTCCGCCTCAAGTTGCTGCCAGTTGCCAATATTATGCGTTTGAATTCCGGGGCTGGATCCGGGGCGGTCGCCCCGCAGACGATTGAATTATCACTGCACCTATCCGCCACTTGCTTATATCTGTCATTTGGATCCCGGGGCTGGGTCCGGGGCGGGCGCCCAGCAGGTCGCCCGGCCCAACCTTGGATTTTGGGCTTCGAATTTCTGTGGCAAGCTCCATATTTTGTGCTGAACATTTTTCTCTTCTGAAGCTATGGACGAAATTGAGCTTAAACATCTCAAATATTTTATTTTCTTTCAAGTTTTTATCCTGTTTGAACCAGTTTCTGTTTGAAAATTCTATATTTGTTTTGAACACACTTTTTTTATAAACAAAATGACATTTTGAGAAATTTAGAAAAGAAAATAAATATTTTTACCTTAATTAAATTTATTTACATACAAAAAACGTTTAAATATAAGAAAAATAATAAGTACAAAATGTACTTATCAAATTCCTCACACTTAAACGTTGCTTGCCCTCAAGCAACAAACTGAATAACTAAAAGAACAAGGACAACTTAACACATTCACGAAAAATATTTACACAATCTATTTGTAGGAACAAGATATTGGACAGTCATCAACTTAATTTTCTAAAAAGAAGTTTAACCCATATTGTTAGGAAATAAGAATTTTGTCAAACTCAAATTGTTATACAAATTTAATCAAACTTGGTTTGCATGATCAAAATTTAGGAATATTGGTGTTATCAAAATCATGTTCTCTAAATTTTAAATAACAATTTATTTAGTCACTTGAATATTTTACAAGATCAAAGAATCTTTAATGATTGAATTAGAAAATTGTTTCTTGAAAATGTAACTCTTTTTTTTTTTTTGATAACATCACCTTGTCATGTTGACACGAGCATAAACTTTGATCCTCATCTCATGACATAGAGCCACAAGTTTTTTGGATTTTTTATTCACTCAAAAACCTCATCACACGACATTGAACCGCATGCTTTTTGGCACTTACCCAAAATAAGTCTCATCATCTGATATAGAACCAAATGCTTTTTGAACTTAAACTCACTCCAGAACTCGTTCTCACCAAGGTGTGTTTGAAAAAAAGGTTTTGAGAAAGAATTTTTAAAGAAACAATAAGTGCTCATATTTTGAAAAATAGCGGAGCAGTATCTTAAGAGATTTCTAATAAAACAATTAAAAATTATTTGACCTTACGAAATATTTTTGTACAGAATAAATATTTACTGAAAAATTAGAGAGCATGATTTTAAAACAATTGTTAGACCAAATTTTGTCAATTTGTACCAAAAATTTTCAAAAATATGCACAAAAATTTAAATTTCTTTATTTTTAGGGTAAAAGAATTTTTCTTAGAAAACTAAAATTGATGACTGTCTATATAATTTTCCTACAAATATAAAGATAAATTATATTTCTAAAAAGTGATTCAACCATAACTCTCCCCTCCTCACACTTAAACGTAACCGCGCCCTCGCGGGTTTTAAAGTGATCAGAAATTAGAGTTATGGTGGAAGAACTTGCATGCAAATACTAAGTTGTCCTCACACTTAAAGATAAACAATATGATGATGTAAATAAAAGTAATAAAAATAGTTTACCAAAGGTGTGTTCAAAACAAACTGAAGTTTCAACCATTCTTGAATCAAACAAACAAAACACAAGAAACATATTAGTGCAGGGGAATAGCTCATTGCCCACGTCCTCCTCCTTGCCCGCGACCGCGCCCTCTCTGGCGAGTGGTGCTAGGGACTCCTTGCTGTGCCTCCACGTAGTCCAAGATATGAGCAATTTGCGTACCCTGCTCTGCAAGGCTAGTCTCAATGCGATGCTGATGATCCTGGCTTTCCTTCCACCAAGCCTCCTGACGTTGCTCAAAGGCGTTCCACCGTTGCTCATAAAGCTGGAAGCGTGAATCGATCGATGTCCGGAGATCACCAAAAGCAGTGGTCAGCTCCTCAAATGTGGTAGGCAATGGACGTGGAACAGCAGAGGAAGAGGCTCCATCGGCGGGCATGCTCGCCGGCATGTATGAAGGACTGCCCGTGCCCGTGCCCTGATCTGGCTCGTATCTAGTGTCGCGTGGCCTCTTTCTGAATCCCATGTGGATGAGAGACTCAGAAGTGATAGGCCGTACACTAGACTCCTCTGGGAGAAGGTCTGGGATGACGATGGTAGGCACGAGGGCGCGCGCCAACAGAGTGATAATGGGTCCAGCCTGGATGTGATGGCGGTTTCCTGTCGACTGATCAAACAGGAAACGCCCAACAAAAGAGGAAAGGTCCACAGGTGTGTGGCTCTCCAGGCTCCAAAAGAAGATCAGATCAGTGTCGTAAACTCTGTTGGCGTTCTTGTGACGCCCAAAGTAGCTGCAGCAGAGGAGGTGACTAAGTATCCTCCATGCGGGACTCCTCCAATCGGATGATGAGCTGTACTTGTTGCTGTAATTGTAACCAGTTTCTGTTTGAAAATTCTAAATTTGTTTTGAACACACTTTTTTTTATAAACAAAATGACATTTTGAGAAATTTAGAAAAGAAAATAAATATTTTTACCTTAATTAAATTTATTTACATACAAAAAACGTTTAAATATAAGAAAAATAATAAGTACAAAATGTACTTATCAGACTCTATCAGCACAAATTTTGTAGAGGATTGGTTCCCCCGAATGTAATTTCTAGAGGCATATTGCATCTTCTTTTTTTCTACATAAGTTGCTCTGGTTGGAATTATTCCATTTGAAAGATAATTCACTATGTCAGCAAACCATGGATCAATGTTGTTTTCCAGCATTAGTTGTTCTCTGATGAAGTAGTCATTCATTGGTTTAGTTTTTGCTTCAGGAATTTCCAACCTTGATAAGTGGTCAGCTACAACATTTTCAGATCCCCTTTTGGTCTTAGATCTCCATGTCAAATTCTTGCAGTAAAAGAATTCACCTTAAAAGCCTTAGTTTGGTGTCTTTATTTTCCATGAGGTATTTGATGGCAGCATGATGAGTGTATACAATCATTTTGCCTCCGATAGGATATGATCAGAACTTCTCAATGGCAAAGACTACCGTAAGAAACTCTTTTTCAGTTGTTGCATAATAGGGTTGTGCGTCATGAAGAGTATGACTTGCATAGTATATTGCATAGACTTCTCTTCCCTTGCGTTGTCCTAGCACAGCTCTGACTGCATAATCACTAGCATCACACATGATTTCAAATGGTGAACTCCAGTCGGGTGGCCTTGTAATTAGAGCATTTGTTAAGGTCATCTTTAGCTTAGAAAAAGCTTCTTGACAATCAGTATCAAAATTAAAATATACATCTTTGGATAGTAGATTTGTCAAGGGCTTTGAGATTGTCTTTGATGAAATGACGGTAGAATTCGGCGTGACCGAGAAAACTCAAAATTCCTTTTACATGAATTTGGTGGTGGAAACTTTTTGATGACTTTAATCTTTGCCGGATCAACTTCTATACCACGTTCAGATATTTTGTGTCCAAGTACAATTCCTTCTGTTGCCATGAAATGACATTTCTCCTAATTTAGTACAAGATTGGCTTCTTCGCATATGCTCAACACTTTGTCTAAATTCATTAGGAAATCTTCAAACGAATTTCCATAGATAGAGAAATCATCCATAAATACCTCCATGGTCTCCTCGATGTATTCTGAGAAAATAGTAATCATACACCTTTGAAAAGTCGCAGGTGCATTACAAAATCCAAATGGCATTCACCGGTATACAAATGTGCCATAAGGACATGTAAACGTTCCATCTCTTGATCATGATGATGAATCGGGATTTGAAAGAATCTCGAGAAGCCATCTAGAAAATAGAAATAAGAATGTTTGGTCATTCTTTCCAGGAGTTGATCAATGAACGAGAGAATAAAATGATCCTTACGAGTGGTTTTGTTTAACTTTTGGTAGTCACTGCACATGCACCCATTCTGGTAGGAATAAGTTCATTTTTTTTCATTTTTTACAACGGCGAGTCTTCCTTTTTTGAAACCGCATAAATAGGGCTAACCCATTTGTTGTCTGAAATGGGATAGATGATTCCCGCTCTCAACAACTTTAGCACTTCTTTCTTCACCATGTCCTTCCCCGGCAACGGCGCCAAGTTGATTTGCAGAATAGAATGGACAAAAATAACAACTAAAAAGAAACCCTTGTAAGTAGGGTGTCGAACCTCAAGGAGATGTGAATTAATTTAATTTAAACAAAAGTTTATAAAATAAGTTGTAAAATACTTTTGGTCTCTTTGGTTTTAGAGATAAAATAAAAAGTGTAAAAGGAGAGAGTTCCAAACAACACAATGTTTTTGATGATGAAAGATTAGGGGTAGAAATTGGTAAATTAATTGTTCAATGTTTTTATAAAAATTGGATTTTCAACTTATTTTTATATAAAATGTGTGGGGTTGCTGAAAAGTATTTAGGGACGCTCTCGCAATTCACCTAAATAATATCAATCTTGACTTTAACATGCTAATGATAAATCCGTAGTAATTATTTAGTCACAACGCACCCAATAATTATTTTATTGTATAAATACCCAATTCAATGGTGTAAAAATTCAACTCAATAATAATGTCCACATGAAAGTCTTCAGTCCCGGTTAAATGTAGAGAAAGCTTACGGTGTTTTTAAAAAGTGTTCTATTTTATGATTATATCAATTTTAGCTCACATTCCTTTTAACAACTAAGTTTATGATTGGGCCCTCAATTAAAAATCACAAACATTCAAGATTTAAAATCCAGAATCCATGTTAAAAATGTAAAATATTAAGATGGACAATTAATTACACCAACTTCTAAACCAAAAGAATTTAAAAGTCTTACAAAAATTGAAGATGTGTTCTTGAGCTCCAATTATAATGATGGTGTTGATGCTGATGAAGATGGGGTGATTTTTGTGTGTTTAGTGGATGGAAGTGGATAAATTCGGAATTAGAGGGAATGGAAATTGGGGAGTTCAACCTTTTAGAAGAAGAGAGAACAGGAGTTTTTAATGATAAAATTGTATATAAGGAGTATATACAAACAGTCATAATATTGTGACCAAAGATATAGTAGCGCACATGAAAATGAATGTGTCAAACTCATCACATGATCCCGTGTTTGATTCCTCTAATCGTCGATGTTTTATCATTTTTCTTCTTTTACTCCTGAGCCGCATTTTGAAAAGATTATAGATTATGGGAGCCGAATCACCAAAAATGAGGTGTTTGGCGTGTTGGTCAGAAAACGGCTAGTTATCAACAAGGTTGGGGCAACCTTGTTCTTAATTATATTCTATTATATTTCTTTTTCTTCAAATCTCCTCATTTTATTTGGTCCCAAGCTTCTAAGTTTATTTTCCGTTCTTGCATTCAGTCTCAAGATGCCTACAAAACATATAAAACCATATATAAGACCGCTCTACAAAAATAAAACGGATCCGTTGAGACTCAAAACTACTCCAAATTATGTCTAAAAAGTGTATAAAATATGTGTACATCAGACATAAAAACGTATCTTCGCTCATTTTTTTTCTTCTTCGCTTTGTTTTCTTTTCAAAAAGTTTTTTTAATTATGTTTTTGTTATGCTTTAAAAATTCAAAAGTGTTTGCTTTTTATGATAAAAAATAAATGAAGAAAATAACAAGTACTCCATCAGTCCCAAATTACACATTTCAATTTTTTTTTTTTCTGAAATAAAACAAAGTTCTATCACTCGGATACTCCATTCTACATTGAGTGTTCCTTGTAAAAGGATCATTATATTTCTGAAATATTACACGAATGATTTCAAGTGTAAGTGTTATCAAATTAAAAATATAAAATGACTCAAATAAAAAAATAATGGAGGGCAGCTCCACATCACCAAAAGGGTCCCTCACCATACCCCGCCCACAAGAGGTCCTAGGAAACAACAAAAAGAGCACTTCTAGGGGCAGCAGCTTGTTGAGTTGAGCTCGGTAGGCCGAGCCAAGCACAAGACTCGCCACCTTAGAGCTGCGGGCAGGGATGGAATGCCCTGATTAGGGAAGCAACGATAAGCCTAGCTATGAAGATAGAGCCGTACTCGACAAAGAGATTATACAACCATTGTGCAATTGTTGTCATAACATCATAGACATGTTTGGGCATGGAATCACTGTCATAATAGCAAGCCCATGTCAAATAAGATTCTATGCATGCACTACCAACAACAGCCATATGAAAAAGGAACGTTAATCTTGGCCTACTACCATTGTACTCCATCGGTCCCAATTTATATTGCTTGTTTCGGTTTATGATGTTTGACTGAAATTATTTTCAAATCATTTTATATGAAAAATTGTGTAGAATTAAAAAACAAAAATTACATATTTAAAAACTATATCATAAGATCTACAAAACTTGTGGTGTCAAAACTATATTATTTTATCAAATGACTAACGAAAATAGAGAAAGAAAGTCAACGAAGTTTGACCCTGTGAATAGTAAACAGATGATTTAATTTGGGACAGAGGGAGTAACTAATAATTGGAAGGGCAGTACAAATGCCTCCAACCCTTCACTTGTAAACCGATCTAAATCGTAGCTAATAATAGTCCTATATTGCAGTGTCTCGCTCTTTACTCTCATTCTTTGCTTACTCACTCATACCCAACCTCTCGGTGAGTCTACTCGATGGTTTTTTACCATAAAGAAATATAATAATTTCTAAAATTTACTCAAGAAAATAGACAAACCTTTCTTCTAGTACACTATGTTTGGTTGGTGAAAGTTTGAAAGAAAAGAAACATTTCTTTCTTTTTCCTTACCAAAATGGAAGAAGAGTTGTTTTCCCATTTCTTAGTTTGTTCTCTCATTCTTTTCTTCACTTTTCTTTTTTTTTTAATTCTCTAACCAAACAAGATAAATTATTTTTCATACCATTTTTTTCCTTTCTAATTTCTTGAAGTGGTTATGCCATAAAATACAAAAATAAAAACAGAGAGTGCTTATGATCCAGCCAATGAAAAGTTCTCTATAGACATGTCATGTAATATGCGATGAAAACTTTGTAGTGACACATTTATAAATAAGTCAAATCTTCATGTCATTAAAAATGCAGTACCGTAATAAAAAATGCACCATGACAAACAGAAAAAATATCATTCTTGTTTTTCTCAAGAATGGTCATTCCCACCGAAACCGGCCTACAAGAAATTAGATTATCTTTATTTCAAACGTTACTTGTATTTTTTTTAAAAATATGAATATTTATAATCCCATGTATTAAAAATTCTTTCAAATTACTACATACGGACTATTAAATATACAAGAGATGTTGAAATGATTTCAACACAAACACTATTTAACTCTCGTATAAAACTATGGTTTCTATTTCTTATTCTTAACATGGCTATTTACATGTGGCATACAAATGGACCAATCAAAAGAAATCTTATCCAGAGGTTAGTAAATGTGGCATGACACAAGAAAAGATGATTTATACTCAGGATTTTCTCACATGGCTATTCTGATTGTTATTCTTCTTCATCCAAACTGTGGATCGTGTTCTCTTAAAATGCTCTGTGAATAGTTGATACCTACAATGAAACAGAACACTAAATAGTTAGGAAGCACATATCAAAACCAGCCCAACCATTTATAACATGTAAGTTTATTTTATATTCAGATAATAATTAATAATAATAATTATTATTATTATTATTACTAGTATATGTAATAATAATAATAATAATAATAATGACGATACAAATACGGAGTAATCCTCCGTAACAGATATGGGGAGAAAGGTATAAAATGACCAGTGGAGTTGATACAAGGTAAAATGTACACAAAACTAAATCCTAGCCTAATTATAGTTCACTGTAAAACGTCAGTTGATATACAAAAACATTATTCATTGTGAATTGCCATCCTATTTTCATCTTTCATTCACTTTTGTTAATATGCCTTGAATCTGTATTGTTTGCCACTGCGCAAATGAGGAAACAGGGGTCTCGCTGCTATGTTATTATATTGGGCTCTAATTGTTGTATTGGGCCTAGCCCGTCTTGTGTGCCTATTTATATAGAGGTAGGCCACAAAAACTTTGTACTCTGGAACTGCTTGCATAATATAATCCGCCTCCGTTCTTGCGTGTGGACGTAGCCAACACAACGTTGGGGAACCACGTTAAATCTGTGTGTCTTTACGTTTCCTGTTTGCTTCGATTAGTCAATTACTCTATTCCGTAATAACACCTTTTAAATCTTTATTATTCGGAGAACTTATGCCATTGATTGTCTTTGAAAGACAAAAAAGTTGACAGCACAGACTATATAAAACTGAAAATCCATATAGTACGAAATACAGATATATCATAGAAATTCACAATGAATTATTGTTTCTTTCATTGGTATATAGAAATTAGCTTTGTCTTTTGTGCTTGAGCCAAACGCCTATGGAAGCAGCGTCTCTACCTTTTCTAGGTCTGGGTACACCCCTCCCTCCCCGGTCCCCATTTGTGGGATTTTACTAGGTTGGTTGTTCTACTAGGTGTGGGGTTTTACTAGGCTGGTTGTAATATACTACGTAATTTTTTTTTGACAATTCAACTATTTGTTTATGGATTTGATCATATAAATAAAGAACAATGGATTTTGAAGATTCAATCTTATTAACGGGGTTGCTTGCAGTCATATAAATTAAAGTTGAATTACTTAAAAATAGAGGTTGAAAGAATTTCTAATTTTTAAGTCAAAATTTTCTTCCGAGGGAGCTAAACATCATACTCCGTATTATTCAAGGACTGAAAGTGGTGAGGCTAATAACTTAGGGACTAAATCCACTATTTCCCTATATTTAAGGGGACTAAAACTAAAAGTGCTATTTTGTTTTATTAAAAATATAGAAACCTAGAAAGATGGTGGGTTGTGGCAACATCAATATAAAAAACCAAAAAAATAAATTGAGAAATACAAATGGAGTACATGCCTTTCATACTCCAGTTTCTGAGTAACTATTCCATTGAGTAGAAGCTCCGAACTATAAACTGGTATTCCTGCATGTACAAAGAGATAGCTAGTTATAATTAAGTACTGTGAAAGAAAAAAAGGTTATGCATAAGTACATGAGTAAGATACCCAACCTTTCTCAAGGAAAGGTACACAGAGATCATAGTCATCTTCACAAGACAAGATTAAAATATCATCTGCCAATGCCACATCCTTCATTGCAGATCTTCCACATCTCTCAATTGGCTGAGAAACATTTTTACATAAAGCATTTCATTGGTGTGGAAAATGAATGGCAAATGTCAAGGGTAATGGGACAAGCAATCATTGTGATATGAATCGGATAGGAGAACATACCAAACCGTGAACAGCCTTCACCAGACCATTTAATATTCCAGTACCAGGCTTAGTATTTGGGGTGATAAAGACTCTAAATTCCTGCAGATAAACAGCAAAAAAGTAATCTTAAGTGTCTGTGCCTAATCATAACACAAATATCATTTCATCTCTACCTGTAAAAGTGGATGTTGCCTTGCTCTTGCCAATGAAATTGGCATGCTAAAGCCAAACTCCTTTTCCTTTTTCACATCTCTCAGTATATAATTCTTCTCATCTATAAGACAGCTAGTTTGTGCACAACTCTCAAGCCATAAGTGTGTCACCACTGGTTTCCCAAAAGCAATAGCTTCCAAAATATTTCTTGTACGTACAAATTCATCTGTTACAAAATGAGTAGCGTCTGACATAGAGGATGCAAGTGAAGCCCCCAAGCGAGTCAATATCTTCAAGAAAAATCATTGCATCAGTAATATAAGTTCAGAAAAATATGTTAGATTGGAGAAAAATAATCACATCCTTGTTACCTTCTTTTGCTGTTTGGTTATGTCATGATCAAGGTGGCGGCTGAACAAGACTCGGACATTTGTCATTTCTCTCCGCCTCCTTGACTCCTTGACATTCATGGGTACTCCATCAGTTTGTAAGGAATTCAGTTCTCTAATAAGAGAAAATCTCAACGCACTACTGCGGCATGATCGCTTATGATACTCATCACCCGCACATATAGGTGATGCCTCAATCCTAGGTGTCATACAATTAACGGGAGTGGTACTTGGAGAGGTTGATGTTTTGGGTTGATACTTCGGTGGGGCTTCTACTTCATTTGCTTTACACACATCCATAGTTTTTTGCCACTGCATATCACGATTTTTACTGCATTTATTAGAAGCCTTTCCATTGAGTATAATACCTGGAACTGAAATGCCACCTGCATCAGCTGCGCCATTATTAGAAGCATCCTCTTCACGGACACTCTCTGAACACTCTAGGACACTTTCTTCAGCAATACGTATTTTCTTTCTTTTACTCATATACACAGGAGCTCCCCCGTCGGTAATTGATCTGCTTGGTCTCATATTAGACTGGTCATTGTTTTCTTGTAGCATTGATGCCCGCGTTCGACGAGTTCTTATTCCTTTGGGATGGATCATTTGACCAATCTTACTCACAGATAAATCCATATTTCCAAGTTTAGAAGCAAATCTCTTTTTGGTACTGGTCTTACAGGATCCATCATCGGGCAGACTTTTATTAGAATTAAAAGCACCTTGTTCACCATTTATCTCCTTTGTCATGTTATTTGAGATGTTTCTAGTACAATTCTGTTGATTCATTACAGAGTGCTGCCTTGTTCGATGAGCAACAGGTGTCGGTGAGTTGCTAAGCTCATGAAATGGTCTCTTCTTTAAGAACATAGAGCTGTTAGATGGGGTATCAAGGCCTCTATTAATCCCAATTTTTTTGCTAGCTCTGGAAGCACTTTCTTCCTTCCTTTCTGCAGCTTGATTTTGCTTTGCAGCATCATGTAATCTAACATTTGACCTAGTGCTCTTTGTTTCTAGTAATTTTCCATCACATTGCTTCTTGGCATTTTCAGCAATTTTAACTGTTGTAGCAACCCTTTGTTCAGCTTTCAAGGATTGTCGTGTGGCAGGTCGAGTAGAACAGGATCCTTTATTTTGAGAACTTTGTCTCAGCTGTGACTCATGATTCACTCCACTTTTGAATGAACTATTTTTTATGTTTGCAGTGATAGATCCTTCTTCAATCAAGGAAGAACCGAAGCACAATGAGTGCATAGCTTCTGCAGCCATTTGAGTATCAATACCCACATCTGTCGTGTGAACATCATCATTGCCAGTTTTATTTTCTTCTACTTCATCATCAAACATATCAATCAAATTCTCGTTAAGCTCTTTCAGAAACTTATCTCTGGATTTTGGCTTTTCAGTCTTAGTGCTTGATTTCTTGCTATTTGATTTCACTTTAGTATCTTTCTTTTTGCATGATTCTGAAATCTCTACTGTGCGTTCACAGTTGCCAACTACTCTTTTTTGGTCAGTGTTAAGTCGCATAGGCTTCCTTCGAGACGAGGAGATTTTGTTATCAAATAGAAGTTCCTTATTCTTTTGAAAAAACTCCCCACCGCCATCATCCTCGCAGTTATCGTCCCAATCAAAAATACTATCTACTTCATGTCTGCTTCCAGTGGCTGCCGCAATCAACCTATTTGTCCGTTTTGCACTTGGCACAGACTTTGTTTTTTCAACAGATGACTTTCCCATGTCAATGTCTTCATCATCCTGAACTCCATTAAACTTGAGAAATCTGTCAACAACATCAAATGCTTTAGCCTGTGATTCATCTCCAGGTTCTTGAGAATCAATGTAACTTAACCCAGCCAATACATTTTCTGAAGTAAACATCTGAGGCAAATCTGCTACATTGTTAGCATCAGCATTTCCATGCTCTGCATATTCCATATCATCCACAGTATCTTCTGTGAAAAGTTTCCTTACAGCTGAGCTACCAGATTTGCACCTATTTTCAGTCCCTAGAACTTTACTGAGTTCAACATTATCCTCACAACCATGTGTGTAGTTAACTTTCCTCTTAGCGTTTTCCTCAACAAATGGCACATCTTGCATAGTCCGTATCAACTCTAATGAACTGTTTCTCTTATTGGAATCACCATCAGA